AGAACATCAGCAATACCCAAACAGAAGCCAGAAGGGACCACAAATCCGATGTCTTGAGGCTCTCAATGCGGGGTTCCTGGAGGTCTGGAGCTTTTCCCCACGGCTGGCCCTTCATTCTGAGTCGCTGTTTGGCGCTCACCGGGCCCTGCGAGGGCCCCCAGGGCCGAAAGTTGACAAACAAATCGCCTTGAGTTTTTCGAGACGTTAGAGGTCTGGGTCTGCGGCACGGTGGCGGACTTGTGGCGGCGCCCTCCCCGCCAGGTGCCCGGGCCCGACGACGCCCATGCCGCGCCGCCGCGCTCACCGCCCGCAGCGACGCCGCGCTGCCGCGGCGCCGACGTCGCGGCGCCGGCGGGCCCGCGACGCCGCGACGGAGCGCCGCCGGTGGCCACGGCGGCCCGCGCGGCCGCGGCGCCGCGGCGCGCGCCCGCGGCGCCGCTGCAGCGCGCGGCGCCCGCCGCGCGGCGCGGCGCGTCCGCTGCGGCCGCCGCGGCGCGCGCATCCGCCGCGGGCACTGCGGCGCGGCGCGGCGCGCCCGAGGCGCCTACCGCCACGCGGGGCGTGCGCCCGCGGGCGGCTCGGCCGCGCGGGGCGGCGCGGCGGCCCCAGGTAGGGGCGCCGCGGGCGCGGGGGCGCGGCCGCGGCGCGAGGCGGCCACGCCTCGGGAGGCCGCCGCGAGCGAGAGAGAAAGGCGTGGCGCTGGCGCCACGATCCTGTCGTGGGCGTCACCGCGACGAGGGAGGAGGAGGAGGAGGAGGGAGGAGGAGGAGGAGGAGGAGGAGGAGGAAAAGGAGGAGGAAAAGGAAAAGGAGGAGGAGGAGGAGGAGGAAAAGGAACAGGAGGAGGAGGAGGTGGGGAGGGGGAGGAGGAGAGGAGGGAGGAGGAGTAGGAGGAGTAGGAGGAGGAGGAGGAGGAGGAGGAGGAGGAGGAGGAGGACGAGAAGGAGGATGATGATGATGAGGAGGAGAAGGAGGCGGAGGAGGAGAAGGAGGCGGAGGAGGAGGAGGAGGGGGAGGGTGTCACCGCGGCGAGGGTTGCGAATCGAGGCTTCAGGTTCGAGAAGATTGGGCCGCGTGCCTGAGAGGCGACTGGGGGGAGAGTGAACAACAAATCAGTCGCACCCTGCTGTGCCCACACGACCTGCGAAGCACCTGGGGAAAAGTCGACGACAGCATGGTAGGCACTATCAGACCCACAGGACCTGCGGGGCAACATGGGGGCACCAACACATAACCAACTACCTGCCGCATGCAGACGCGCGCGCGCGATCGGCAACTCCGTTCAGGGCAAGTCGGCAGCACGCTCCGCAGCCCATCATGCGTAAACGGGCTGCGAGGCAAAAGGGTCAAAGGGAATAGAAACGCAACATCCCCTGGAGGCCTTGCAGTCACGACGTCGAAGTGAGACCCACTCCGAGCTCAGGATGGTCTCCAGTGTTCGGGCCGTCTCTTTGATCTAGGTCGGGGATCTCGGATCTGTTCGTGGCCGAGGCTCGCCCTCGGCTGAAAAGCCCAGTCGTTCCTTACAGGTGTCGGAAACAATCAAGCAACACTCACGCGCAACATATGGTTTGGAAACCCTCCCCCTCCCCCCGAATGCAATGCTGGGCTCGGATCTTCCGAGTTTGAGTGTCGGACCAGTGATGTGAAAACGTGCCAACTTTGAATTGCGGGGGGGAGTGTTGCTTAATTTTTCTTTCAACCGCATTCAGCGTTCATCTTGGTAGCACGACGATTGTATTCCCAGCAGCGGCACAAGGGGATTCGGGAGGCCGTGGCCCCCAACTCCACGTGCCCCATGCGCGGTCGCAGGGCGCCGGAGCTCGCAATGGGCAGACACGAGTTCTGCGCGTGAGCGAGCCACCAATGCGCATAAATAAATGCTCTTTCCTCGGCGTGAGGCTTTGTCCTCTCAAAAGCCGCGGTATGATCATCAGATGTTGGGAAGTGGCGCGCACGATACTGTGCGAGAACATCGAGATGCAGCTTCTATGCCGGAGATCTCTTTCATACACGCTTTGCGCCATGGGGGGCATCGACACCTGTGGCAGAAAGCAGGGCTCTGACGCGATGGATTAGAGGCGTGCCTTGCCGACCATGCATCGATGGGCCAGGGCGCCAAGGACTCTTCGTGGCCGCTGGCGCAGCGCGTGCTCGACCCAGCTTTCGTTGTGGGCTGTGAGGTCCAGCTATTCGTGGGCGGCGTGCAGAACCTTACCGTACTCCCACCGTCGCGGCGCTTCGCATACATAGCACTCGACATTCCATTCGCGGAGAGGTCGACCGAGGCGAGAAAAAGCCTCCTCCCATTGACTCGCGCCTTCCCCCCGCCCCTCCTCACTCCCTCGTCGCCGCGTCCCTCCCACATCCTCCCTCGACCACCCTTCTTCCACCTTCCTCCCCTGTCGCCTCGCCCCTCACCTCCCCCGTCCCCCTCCCCCCCTGCACAAGTACACGATATGAATACTACTCTCCTCTCTCCCCCAATGACGTCCAGAAGATGTCCGGCCCCCCACTGCGTATTGTTTTTTACACCAGATTCCCGGGAAATGAGTTTTCGCTTGGGTTCTTTTGGTCAAAATGTTGCTCCCGCTGAAGCGCTGGCCCCATTTCTGCGACTCTGGTTGTTCAAATCGTGTTCCCGCTGCAGCGAGGCGCTTTCGGTCCTTCCAGATAAGCCCCAAAATGTAGAACATGCCCCCCCGAAAAAACCATCGGAAGTGATTACACATCCCGTGTCGATTCGTTGAGTTGTCTGGGCCGCAGAAGCCCCGTTTTCATTTTCAGGAAGTATCAAGCGGGAGCCCAGTTTCTGTTTTGAGAAGGCGATGTTGGAAGCAGAGCCAGCGGGTGCTCTCCATCAGCCCCGCCTTATGTGGAGCTTTTCGGGGAGCCCAAGGAGGTAGCCATGGAGCTGCGACTCCGGACCAGCCCAGACCTCTCGAAGACGATCCACTTACCCTCCAAGGAACCCGGCGCCTTGCCATGTCATGCTGTGCGGTGTTGTGTTCTGCGCCGCTGTACGAATGCCATGTTTTGCAATGCTTTGTGATGCAATCTTCACTGCGCAATGCCACGCCATGCTATGGCATGCTGCGATCAGCCGTGCTCTTCTACGCCATGCCATGCCGTGCTCTACCATGCATCGCGTACCCTCTCACGATCATTGCCCTGCTCGACATCCGACTGTGCGAAAAGAGAGGATATCTACGCCATGGTAAGGGATGGGAGGGAGGGGTAGGACGTCAAATATGACGCGAGAGCACCTGGCTTGCCCGCACCCGCTCCTCCTTTCCCCCTCACTCTCCCTTTCTCCCCTCCCTCCTGAAGTGAAAACGGTTCTTCAACAGGAGTTGTCAGCTGAGGCACCCGACACAAACGCCGTTGAGCGCGCGTGATGACGCCGTGAACCACGTGTTTGCGCCGTTCCTTTCGCCGGGGAGGAAGTTTTTAGAAGGAGGGGAGGTAGGGCGAGGAGGAGGAGGAGGAAGAGGAGGAGGAGGAGGAGGAGGAAGAGGAGGAGGAGGAGGAGGGGAGGGAGGGAGGGAGGAAGGGAAGGAGGGAGGGAGGGAGGGAAACAGGGAGAAAAGGAGGCAGGGAGGCAAGTAGGCAGGGAGGCAGGGAGGCAGGGAGGCAGGGAGGCAGGAGGTAGGAGGTAGGAGGTAGGATGTAGGAGGTGAAGGTAGGAGGAGGAACCCCCGACCCCCACCCCGCAACGCCAGGCGCCTCGGTGGGCGGCTGGCCGGCGGCCGCGCCGCCCAGCGCCGACCCGTGGGGCGCTGGGAGGCGTCGCGCGGTGGGCCTTGACTTCTGCCTCCGGCCTTCCAGAGAAAGTGGGGAGGTAACGGAGGAGGAGGAGGACCAGGACCAGGACCAGGACGGCAAAGCGTAAACGAATAATCTTTTTCCAGAAATCACAAACGTATCTTTGCGATGCAGGGGGAATTTGTTCAACGTCGATCACAAGCGTGGTCTGGAAACTAGCATTTCGCGTTCAGATCCACTCTGCTTTAGCTTCACCGCGCGCGAACGTTCATTGTTTCAAACACGCTCCTCTCGCGCAATTGCCGTCGTCGTGCAACCGCCGCACAAAATTTGACACCGCTGGGCTGCCCTGAAGGGTTGAAAGGCGCCCGCCAACAAAAATCGGCAACGAAATCTTGGATCCGACGGCCACCCTGGTCCAGCTGCGACTGCCAGAAGGGCCATCAAGCAGCTACTGCAAGAAGAAGGGCCACCGTGGCGCCAACTGTCGGAAGCGGATCGACGACCTGAAAATGGCGCATGACAACAGGGATATGGACAAACATAAGGAGTCAAGACAGGAAAAGCAAACAAGGGGATGAGAGGGTCGAGGCAGCGGCAGTAAGAGAACTCGGGAGGTAACGCCTCGCGGGGTTGGGTACGGCGTTCGCCGCGCCGATGCAGCAGCGCTCGAGCGCTCTCAGCAGCGCCGACAGCGCGGCGACCCAGCCAGCCCGTCATGAGAGACCTGCAGGGGAAGATGATTCTGGCTCTGCACATGCCAGAAAGCCAGAATCCACATCCTCAACTGGAAGTACACCCTACCCTCCTACACCATTTGGCGGCGCAGTTCGCGTGAGAAGCATATCGAGGGCACGAGGTGGCATTTCTCTGACTGGCAGGCGGACTTCTGCGACAGGTGCGCTCAGTGCTGCCTCGACAGTCACAGGCGCAGCTAATGCGACTTCCTGTAGGTGATGTGGGCAAGCAGCGGATGGCCCCGCGCTGCCCAAAAGCAGCCTCTACGGGCGCGCAGCGGGTAGCCCCGCGCTGCCCGAGATCTATGGCTTGCGCGAGCAGGAGCTGGAGGATGGCCGACTGCGGATAGCCCCACTTCGGAACGCAGCGACGCTGCTTGACTCGGGGGCACAAGTCAGCGCCGCGCCAAAGGAGCAGGCGACCAAGCACAACTGCGCGCCGACTGAAATTAACATTGCGCCCTTCAAAGGCATGGGTGGGGGGCGAGGAGATCGAGAGGCGCGGCCGCGCGGAGCTCAACCTGTTCAGAGGTGGAGAAGCCATCCAGCCTGGCGCGGAGGTGGCCGACGTGGAGTGCCCAATTGTAGCCGCAGATGCAGTCGTGCAGCGTGGCAACAGCTTTCTCCATAGCTCCGCAGGTCACTGGGTCTTCAATGGCGCCATCGAGCCCCCTGGCGGGGCTGAGCTCGTGCCTGTGCGACGCCGCGAGGACGACTGTTGCCTGGAGTTCGACCATGTCTTTGCTGGCGGGAACAACGAGCCAGGCGTCTTGCAGATGGCACCGGCGAAGGAGGCGCTGGCTGCCGAGAAAGGTCCCAGCTGAACAGGCAACGCGAGACGACCGCCGCGTCGACAAGGGCGCTCCAGTCGCCCCGCAAACCGAGTGCTGCGGAGAGGGCCGCGCGCGAAGGTCATCGCCTTCCCTTTCGCCCCCCCGCGCCCGGCGCGCGCGGGGACTCGCGCCGACGACGATCCGCGCCGGGGCCATCGGGCAAGCAGCAGGCGCCGAAGGTGGCGTTCGAGGGAGGCGACGAGCTTGCAGCAGCGCGATGGAAGCCCCGCGCCAGGGCCAGCAGCGGCGAACGCCAGCTATGCAGCGGGAGCCTCCGCGCCGCAGGCTGCGGGCCAGCCGGCAGTTGAGCCGCGGCTCAGGGCGATGCACTTGCGCCGCCTGGCCCGGGAGTGGCAGGAGATCGCGCGGGGGCAGAGCCCGGAGGGCGCATGGGTGACTTTCCACGGGCCGCCGCAGGAGATGAGCGGCAGAAGGTGCAAGTCAAGAAGCCGAGAGTTGCGCCCGCCGGCGTGCTCGCCGCATGCGAGCGCGCGGCTTGCGAAGAAGGCCGCGACAGGAACTTCGACCCCGTTTGGGTTCCACGGTCGAAGCGCGAGTCAAGTTGCTCAGAGAGATGTGGGAAGCACATGTCAGGATGCAAGATGCGAAAGCGCGACTGAGGCGGGCGCGCGCGCAGGCGCTGCCCGATGCGCCGCATCCGCGCGAACGGGAGCCATTCTGGCGAACCTGATGACGAGCAGATCGAGCAGTTGGTGGAGTTGGAGGTCAACGCCGAGTTCCGCGAGAGCGACCACTGGGGTCCGACGACGGCTCGGCACGGCGATCAGAGTGGAGAGCCGCTGGGCGGCATCCTGCACCAGACATGTCGCGACGACAAGCTGCAAGCCATGAAGGACTGCGGAGTCAACGCTGAGGCGGCGACTTCGACGGCGACCGACGGCAACGCATATCGGACATGTGCCCATAGCCTACATGGAAGGGAAGGGCAGGCGTACATTCGTGGCGACAGAGATCAACGAGCACGAACCAAGAGAGGACAGCCGCCAGGGTGCGCCGCCGCCCATGATCGCCAGACCGACGTTAAGTCGCGCTAGTCGGGCCTTTCTTCGACGGGCGAGCACGCGAGGATGACCCAGGTCTGGGGCGTCGGGGAAGAGTTCTTCAATGCCGACCTGGATGAGCCGGTCTGGGTTCGTCCTGGACGAGAGTTGCGTCCTCGGGGGCGGTGTCGGCGGCTGCGGGAAGCCGTCGGCGGCGCCGAGAGGGCGTCGCAGATGCGGGGAGAGATGGCCAGGGCCATAATGTATTACGGTCACTGGGGCTGCTTGCAGGGGGCGCCCAACGTCTAACGTCTAATATTTGCCCGCGAGCCCGTGCGTTCCGTCCGTCGAGGAGGATCGCGCAGCGATGTGCCATGGCGGCGACTTTCGGGCCGAACGCTACGACGAGCAGTCAGGCGAGCTGAACGAGCTGCTGAAACATCAGTTCAAAATCGCGGCTTGTCCGAGGCCGGGCCCGACAGGCCTGGGCAGACGAATCACCTCAAGAAGATCGCCGGCTGCGCCGACAAGCTGCCTGGCTCAGGGGGGCCAGGATTCTCCCAGGCCGCCGACCCTAATTGCGTGGATTTCTTGATCTGGCGGGTTCTGAAGTGAGGGCGCAAGGCGGCCCCCGTTCCGGGAACGGATGCAACGGGGCGAGGCCGACGCGACAGTTTGGATTTTGTTCTTTCATCAGGATCGAGCTCGGGAAGTTGCAGATGCAGCAAGCGCGGCGTTCCACTTGTCTTCGGGCAGGCCCGGCACGACGCATGCCGGCAAGACCGCGATGCAGCGCGCCCCCGAACCCACTGTTTCGATGCATTCGAGGATGCGGCGGCTTGGGCGGCATTCGGAAACCAAGCCTGTGCTGGCTTGGCGCGATTCCTTACAGGGCGCTCCTCACGGGGCCTCCGCGGACGGCGATGCAGACTGGGCCCCTACCACAGATCTGCAGCGAATATACACGAGCTGAGGAGCTTTTCGCGATGGAGATCACACCGGGGGCGGATATTCAATGGCGCAGAGCACGGCAGGACGGCGATCAGGAAAATCCGAGATACACGGCGCCGGATGCGAGACGGCCAGAGGACTCCAGCGCGAGGCGTTCCTTGTCGAAACCCAGAAGCCGTATAACCTGACGGTCCACAGTCAGAGCGCAGCTGGCCGAGGCATGCGCAACCGACTCGGCGCTGGCAAAGCAAGGCACTTGGTGCAGATGTTTCCGCGGGCTCAGAAGCGGCCGCGACTCGGGGCGCCCGCGCATCTGAAGGGGGGCGCCGCGGAAGTGACGGCGGGCGTCCTGGCGAGGCGCAGCGAGCGGCCGACGGTCAAGAAGCGCCGTGCCACGCTGAACCTCCACTCCCGGCCCTCGCGCAAGGGCTCGAGTGCGATGGCAGTTTCTACAGGGGTCTTGGCGCCAGCATCGGGGGGCAGAAGGTGGCGCCGCGTGAAGTTCCAGGATGGGGGGCGGCTTGCTCCGCCCCTGTGCCCCACGACGTGGAAAGAGGGGTTCTGGGCCATCCTGCTGACGGGCGTTCTGGCGGCGATCGGCTCGGCGTTTCTGTCGGGGCGTTTGCGCGGCTGCTGCGCGAAGAGCCTCCTCGAAGAGGATTTCCTGCAGGTTGCGGATGGCCTCGCGGCCGCAGGCGCAGACGCCCCCCCCAGCCATGCCAGTCGCCCATGCAGGACGCGACCCAGAGCCGCGCTCGAAGAACAAAGAAGCGATGCACAAGCCATGCAACGCGTTTCTCGTAGCCGACCTGAAGCAGATCTCGATTGCCAAAGGCCTGCCCATGACTGGGGCCAAGGACGACTTGATCTCGAGGTTGCTCGCGCAGAACAACATGCCGACGGGGCGACAGCGCAAGGAAAAATAGAGACGCTATCACGGCTGCGGTGCGTGGACACACGTTTGAGATCAACCTCGGTTGCCCGAGCAGCCCTGAGGCCGCGCGGCAGTGGATCGAGGCGTTCGGAAGCGAGTGCCGAGATCGTCCAGCTTTTCTGACTTGGCCCACGACTGGAACTATAGGATGGTCGCAGGAGTCACTGCGGCAGCCAATGGAGCCAGAGAGGTTTCGGCTAGCCCAGCGCCAACAGAAGCGTGTAGCCTCGCGCCAGAAATCGCAGAAAGGGCCTCTGCCAGCGTCCAGTCGGCTGGAGGCCGAGCCAATTCCAGCGCCCAGGAAGACGTGCTAGGATGTTGGTAGTTTTGCAATGGTATATGATCATACCAAAACACGTTCACGCTGATCGGGTGGAGACCCGAAGACCTGTGGCTTTTCGCTGTTCAAGGAAAAGAGCGGCCCCCCTTCCTCCTCCCCCCGCGTCAGGGGCAGGGGGGCGCGTGCAGAAGGGCAGGGGAATGCTGGCACGGCCTTTGAGGGTGGTTGGTCGGCTGGCCCCTGTCTTCAGTGATGTCGCACGCTGCCACCATCAGTCCACAGGGGAGGCTCGGAGGGGGAGGTGGCAAATCATTTGTTAGTGCAAGACGGAAGAAGGATAGGGACAGGGAGAGAAAGAGAGAGATATAGAGAGGTGTACACATATTTGTGTATATATAGAGAGAGAAAGGGAAATAGAGAGAGAGAGAGAGAGAGACAAATATGGAGAGGTAGAGAGAGAGAGAGAGAGAGAGAGAGAAAGAGAGGAACATACACAATTAGTGAAAGAGGGGGTAGACATAGGGTGAGAGCGATGCGGAGAAAGCAAAGGGATATACATTGATAAAAGAGGGAGAGAGAGAGAGAGAAACACAGAGAGAGAGAGAGAGAAAGAGAAAGAGAAAGAGAGAGAGAGAGACAAAAAAAGAGAAGAGAAAACAACCGACACAAGACACAACACTATGTAGGTATAGAGGACAGGGACACGGTGGATTCAAAGGACTGGGCAGGGATGTGAGAGGAGCTTCGCGGGCAGCCAGGCAACAGCATGAGCTGCGAGGGCCGCGCAGGAGCTGGAAGGGCGGGGTGTGTGGCCGGACATATGGTGGAGACGATCGGCTTGTTTGGGCGGCGATGTGCTTCGATTTGCCAACAAGAGGGGTTAGGTATTGTGAAGCGAGCGGTTGGCAATCGCGTGGCGCTGCCCGAGGAGACGGCCGCGCGACGGAAGGCGGGGCGACTTGTTAATCGGATGGAGGGGCTTGGCACGAGGGTGAGGATGGAAACGGCCATGCTGCTATAAGACGACACGGGAGGGCACCAAAGCAGCATCAGGATTAATGTGGGCGACGTCGGGAAGATGACTTGTTTGGTCGGGGTTGGCGTGATTCGCGGACGAACGGGCGGGTGATGTGGATCGCAATGGATGCTTGGGCCACGGGGCGGCAGGCTGGGCGGGCAGCCGTATAGCATTAAGCGTTTCGCTTGTGGATGCTGAAATGGGTAGGTGTAGCCAGCCTCCTCCTCCTCCTCCTCCTCCTCCTCCTCCTCCTCCTCCTCCTCTGTTTCCTCCTCCTCCTCTTCCTCCTCCTCTTCCTCCTCCTCCTTTTCCTCTTCCTCCAATGCGGGAGGAGGATGAAATATATGCAAGGGGAAGCGGAGGGAGAGAGAGAGGGATATAGAGAACAAAAACCATCATCACATAAGAACAAAACGACTAACTTATTCCGACGGTCGTGGCCCGTATGATCATGCCGGTAGTTCGTTTGAGAGCAATCATGAGTAATCCTCACTTCCTTTCTTTCCCGTCACTCGGGTACAAAAATCATGAGGTGCGGGCCCCACAGGGAAGGAACTCCCGCTCGAGAGTTCTTCACAAGTCACTCACATACAAAGCTTTGCGCTAGACTTCCTCCATATTCAATCCTCCAGAGCTCAAGCGTGGCGACAGTTACAAGTTTCGAGTGATCCTCCGGGATTGAAATCATGAGGCGCGAGCCTTATAGGGCGGGGCTTCCGGCCGGAGACTTACTCGCAATTCACTCGCAGACAAAGCCCCCGCCTGAGACTTCCTTGAATATTCAAGCCTCAGGGTCCAAAGCGCGACGACAGTTACAGGTTTCGAGTAACCCCTTGGGTTTCAAAGCATGAGGTGCGGGCCCTATACAGAGGGGGGCCCCGCCTGAACTTTCCTTGAAATTCACTCTCAGACAAGGCCATCGCCTGAGGCTCCCTGAAGATTCAAGCCCCTGGGCCCCAAGCGCGACGACAGTTGTAAGTTCTAAGTTTCGAATGACCACCTGGGGTTGAACACATTAAGTGCGGGCCCCCATAGGGAGGGGGCTCCCGCTTGAGAGTCCTTCGCAATTCACTCACAGACAAGACCCCCGCCTGAGACTTCCTGAAGATTCAAGACTCGGGAGCCCAAACGTAACAACAGTTACATATTTTGAACGACGCCCTGCGATTCAAAGCGATAGGTGCGGGCCTCATAAAGGGGGGCGGTGGCGCTCTCGCTTGAGACGTCCTTCCAACGCACTCACAAACACA